TTCACAACAGCATTTGTTAGAAATAAAAAAAAATGTTAAGTTTTTTTCAATTTACAAATAAACTTATAAACAGCTTAATTAAAATGAAAATAGTATTCTGCAAATGACATTTTTCTTCATTGTTTTATTGGGTGATCTTGTTAATTTTGGGAGACTTATTTCGCCAAAATGGTATTGTCTGAAATAACACAAAATCACCAAGAAACCAGTAAAAGTTTTTATACTACAAACATTTTGTTTTGTTTACAATAAATATCAGTTCAGTATATTCTGTCAGATATTCAAGAATATATGATGATGATCATTGTAGATGAAAGAAAACATTTTTAGCATTAAATATTTTTGTTTTTTTTACTGGTTTCTTGAAGTTTTTGTGTTATTTGTTGCATATTCGACTAGTTTTGAGTCATGGTTAATACTTTAAGATGCTATTGCCTTTTTTTGAGAATAAATATTTATTTATTTAAAAATAAATATATTTAAAAAGAGAAGAAATTTATTTATTTATTCTCTTTTCTTGCATGTAGTGAGAGTTAATTAAAAGAATCACTTACATAGCACTGAAAACTGAATGTAAGTATCAAAAATAACAAAAATATTTCCAAAAGTGCAGAGTTTCCAAAAAATTAGTCTCCACATTATTTTTAGATTTTTGGTGATATTTTTGTTAATTTTAACAGTTAATTAATTTAATTGATGAAATTTTGGGTTTTTACATAAAACTGTCCCATCTACATGCTCAAAAGTAAAATGTTTGAGAAGCATTTGAAAACCTCACAAGTGTGTAGAATACCAGAATTACAAATCTTAAAAATTCATATAGGTAGGAAAATTGAACATAATCAGTAAATAAAATATATTGGGTTGATCAAAAAGTTTGTAAAAGTAACTTTATTAAATTATGTATGCATCTTTGTTTCTGTTATTTTTGCTCTTCTGTTGGGTTGATCCATTATCCCACATGCAAAGAATTTTGGGAAATTTTCATTAGAAAATGCCTCTTAAGTAGTTTTTCACATTGACTACGTTACTGAATTTCCTCCCCAGCAAACTATTCTGAAGAGATCAAAGAGAGAAATGATAATCTGAAGGTGTAGGATTGGGAGAAAATGGGTGTAGCATAAAATATTTCATCCAAATTCCAATAATTTTTCACAAGCTGTCAAAGATGTGTGTATCTAGCATTGTCAAACTGGAAAGCCACACCTTTTCTTCCTAATATTGGCCATTTTTATTCAATGACTGCGTTCAGATTATCAAATTGTACTTCTCTGAATAAATGGTCAAATTTTGAGATGTCAGTTCATAAAAAATAATCTCTTGCTAGTCCTATCAAATGCTTAGCATAGCCATTTTTTGAAGTGAACTGGCTTTGACTGCATTGCTGAGGGATCAGTTGACTTTCCCCACAATCAGCACAGTAATGTAAACAATCCATTTTTCATTACTAGTTTCAAAAAAGAATCCATCTGATTATGTTTCAGCAGCAAATCACAGATATTCTATCAGATTTCTCTCACTCTATGTAGAGATCAAACATCACAGCATGATATGTATCCTAAGTTGTGTAAATGGCCAACAACTAATACTTTGAGCAGTAAATAATACTTTTGCAATTTTCCTGGTGCTGTAATGTGGATTCATTTAATGTAATTGCATTGTCATCAATAACTGAGGTCTTTCAGATCATGGTGCATCTTCTAAAGAAAAATTCTCTGCACAGAACCTCTTAAACCATTTTTGACACACATGAACAATTGACACCAGCTTCTCTATAAACAACACAGATCTTTTTTTCTTGCAGTTGTAGCATTTTTATTTTTATAGAAGTAGAAAAGCATGCAAGTTAGTATCTTCTATTTTTAAGCCAAAAAATTTGAAAATAACAATAACAGAAGTTAATAATTTTTATTTGTAACATATGTTACAAATATTACAATGTGAAGTAAGTGAATATAACCAAAATAACATGCAAACCATATAAATCTATGGGACACTCAACATATTAAATGGAATTCTTCATTTCTTTGATTTATTATTTCCTTTTTAAAAGGATCATTTCAAAAATAAAGTAGCTAGTTAGCCAGATTGCTACTTAAGTGTTTACCTATTATTATGGGAATTCAGGATTATATTTGATGAAGTATTTATACATACTGTACATAAATATACTTAGACCAGCATGTGCAACCATCTTACAAATACATAAGCTGACAGTAATCATGTTGCTAAGTTGAAGGAAATTATTCTGACTGAACTTTTAGAAATTCTTGCAGTGGCAGAAGTCAAGAATTTGTTATAAATGAGCTCAGGATTATAACTAGACTTATCAAGTAATCTGTAATGCTGAATACAATCTGATCTTATTTCTGATCCATAATTTATCTTGGATAATATACTTGAAGATGAGGGTATTATTGTACATCTTGTAAAGGTGGACCTGATTTACAATGAAGGGGAAATTGCAACTAGTCAAAGAGCTTTAATGTGCTGGTTCATTAATTTATCTACTTAGCTTCACTTTTAATAAATCAATTAATCAATCAATCACAGTTTACCATTGTTAATGATTGTTACCATGAATAACAAATTTGAATGGGTAATGGGTTTCCATGTAACAAAGAGTAGAAGTGAAGTTATAGCAAGTTTATTTTATAATTAAATATTTATTATTTATGAAATTGTTATTAAAATAAATGCAAGAAAGAATTTTTATTTACTTAGAATTATAATTAACTGTGAACAAAATATTTAATTAAAATTACTTTCAAAGTAGTTTTAAATTATGTTTTATTACAGTTTATTCATACTATTTAAATTTAAATTATCTCATTTGAAGCTTATGAAGGATATAAGTTTAAAAGAAACTATTAAAATTATCCTGTTTCTATATGTTGTACGTTTGAAGTATTCAAAATATATTAGATAATTTGAACTTTACTTCTAGACTCTGAACTAGATTTATCTTTATAAATATAGACAAAAGAATATTTATAGAATAGAAAAAAATTTATATATGATCATAAACCATATCTCTGAGTATTAAAGTAAAATTTCTATGGTAAGTTTCTCAAATGTCATATATTTTTCTTTTGTTGTGATCAACTTAAAGTTTATTAGCCAGAGCATAACTAAATAAGTTAATGGTAGAAGAACTGCTTAATAAACTAGGTATACATATATAAATGAATGAGCTAACACCGGAATCCAGCAAATAACAGACAATTTAAAGACTATTTTGTTAAATTACCTATTATTTGTTGTATTTTGGTGTTAGCTGGTTTATTTAAATAGTAGAAGCTGAAATATATTAAAAAAACTTCAAAAACGACATCTTATTAATAGAAAAATCAAAAAATTATTATAATTAAATGCAAATAAACCTTTGAATGTCCAACAAATATGATTAGCTACTTTTAGTAGCCATCTTCCAATTATATATTATATTGTACAATTGTAGAACAGTGTTTCTCAATGAGGGGGAGGCAATAATGCTCCCTGAGGAATGAAAATACATTTCTTGGGGGACAAAAATTAGTTTTAAATGTGAAAAAGAACCAGAAATATACACTAGCCAGCATGCAATTAATGTTATAAGAAAAAATAAGTTAATCGGATTTATTTATTGTTTGTTATATTGGGGATGGCAGCTATTGTCTTAGCAATAGTGCCTGCAATAAATAAATAATGTTAAATATAATGAATATTTTGTTAGTGGAAAATTAGAAATAATATTGAGTAAATAAAAGCTTTTTAAAGGGATTTTATTTACTTTATTTCTAAGGAAAGGTCTCGAATTGTAGTTTCCTATAATAAAAAAAAAAACAAGATTTTGGCTAATAAAAGTTGCTGAAAATATATATTTATCTAAGAAAATGCTTAATTGTGAAATCTTTGAATATTTTTGCAGTTCAAAGTTTCAAGTCTTGCTGGCTCATCTTAAAATGTATAAATTATTAAAAAATAAAAATATGAATTACTGAAATTTAATAATTTTTTGAATAATTTATGCCTCAAAGATGCCCAAAAAGACTTGAAAACAGTAGTATTATGAAAGTTTAATCATACAAATTTAAATTTTAATCAAAGATATCTGAAAATTTATTTATATAAAAATAAGGTATTATCACTGAACTATTAGATTGTAATTAAGTAAATTAGAATAATTTGAAGCTATAAAATTTAATATTTTGTAATTAAATGTTTAAAGGCTATGTATTATTTGGAATGAAATCATCTGCTTGTAGTGTTTAGTTTATTTTTATTTTTTTCATTTTAAAAAAGTATTCAAATGTTTCAAAGGTGTTTTATTTTGTTTATTCTGTTATAAAGGTTGATGATCAAATGTTCCAAGAAACAGAATGTTTAAGAATTTTTTTTTTTAGAAAGTAATGAACCCTGAGGATGAAGTGAAGGAGTCTGTCCAGTGTATGTTGGACCATGGCTCTCATCACATGACTAAATCCATGATGGAAATTTGTGTAACTTTAAAATGCTTAACTTTTTTCAGTAGCTGTCCATGTGTTTTTTATTCTTCATTTTCCAAATACTTTTGATAGATCTTTTGTTGTTATTCTTTGTGATTGTACAACATATAAAAATATAAATAAAAAAATATAAGAATGATCACTTTGTTTTAAGTTATGGTAGCTGATGAGCTGTTGATAAAAGTGAAAGTATCAGGAACCAAGATGACAAGTTTCCAAATGAGAAAGGCTTAAATATTGTAGATATGAGCATCAATAAGACACTCTGCTAATATTACTAAACTGTATGAAGACAAAAGAGTCTGTTTGATGCATTCTTACATTTAGTTGAACAATGCAAATGTTCCAACCATGCAATGCAAATCAAGCCAGCAATCAATTAAATTTAATGTTACAATTAAAAATTTCAATTGTTAGAAGAATTAATACATTTCAGTACTTTAATGTTAAGTATTTTGAAAAATTTATTTTTTTAAAGCAACATGAAAATATATAGTGTGTTTTTATTTTTAGGATAAAGTGGAAGGTGATATGCGGCCTCGTGCGTCTACTGTAACACCGGGTGCCTCCATTGATGAGACTGCACTACCCACCGTGTTTAAGTGGGAAGGAGGAGGCAAGGATGTCTTTATCAGTGGTACTTTCACCGATTGGAAACCTATACCTATGGTTCGCAGGTAAGATACATTTGTGTGTAATAAATAAACATATGTATTTTTGTTTGTTTTTGTTAAATCTTTACTTCCATAAATCATCAGGATTGTTTATAACAGCAAAAATAGTTTAAAATTATAATTATAATTAATTGTTGATTACTGACTTTAATATAATAATAATTATTTGACAGTCAGTTGGCCAAGTAGTTAAGGTCTAATGCAGGCTATTGCTCTAGGGACCTGCATTACAGGCCTGGCTAAACCCATAATGAGCTTTGTAAAAAGGCCTTCTTAGTTCCCACAGGGCAGAGTGAAAAAAATAATTATTATTATAGTTATTTTTTTGTCTGTCTGTAGTATATTTGTTTAGAATATCTAGTTAATGATATTTATTAGTGTATAAAGATATCTATGAATCTATTTGATTATGAAGTAGAGGCCTTTTCTGCTGTTATAAAAAGATCTGTTTTAATCTAAACTTTCATTGTTAATAAATATCATTACCTTTCTTTTCACTTTGCTAAGTGTCTAGTCTTGAGTTTTGTGAATTACAGTATGAATATGATGAGAGTATTATGTAGCACAAACACATTCAATGAATACTCTCATTGAAGGAATTTGTATCATGTTTACTCAGCATGTTTATTTTTGCTCATATAAGTTGATATTTGGTACTAATCTTGAGTTATAACTTAACTAAAGATTCAACTGTCAAAACTGATTATGTTCTAACTTGTAACCCATGCATGTCATGGGTTTGGCTGAGTTCACAGTGATGTGATTGGGTGAAGAGAGATAAGTTATAGCTTATCTAATCAAGCCATTAATGAAAATTTAATCAGATTTCAACTTGAATCCATCAAACAATGTGGCAAAAATGGCCAAGCTAGTAAAGATTAACTTTATCAACTTATCTCTTAACACCCAGCTAACCTATTATGTACCTGACCATATGATAGACATGAGAGTTGATGGATTGTTATGGATTATAAGCTGTAACTTAACCAGGTTATTAAACTCTTTAGGAAAAATTGATGAACTGCAGCATTAAATTAAACAACAGTTATTAATGTATTGAGAGAGATGGTCAGATGACTGACAATAAGAGTTTATTATCTTTACTATTTTGACCATTAGATTAATCTAATTTTATTAATAATTGAACAATTTGACAAGTTTTTTATGGAATGAAACCTATTTTGTAGAAGGTATGGTTGCTGTATGTTCAAATTCTGTGTGTAGCATCCTTGTAATTCAAAAAATGATTCTTGGTAGACGACCAAACAGCAATTGGTTAGGAAAACATTATGGTTTATTTAAAACAATTTTTTATTCAAATGCATTTCGGGTTGGTTTATGTTCCCAACCGCTCTTCAGTGCTGTAAAAAATACAAATCAAAGTAAGGTTCGCGACGTTGGTAAATATGACATAAAAAAGGGAGGGAGGTAAAAAACAATGACACAAAAAATTTACATGTCATATAATGGTACATCTTAAAATTGTGTTACTATATTTTTATAGGTGTATGACCAGTCACTATAATATGAAAAATGTATAAATCATTGCTGTTTAACACATCATTTATATAAAAAATAAATACAGATTATTCATTTTAGAGTATCTATGAACACTTACATTTCAGTTAATATGAATTATTCCTGACAAAAGGTAAAACAGAGTAAAACTGACAACTGGTGTTATCTGGTGTTCACAGAGTAACAGTATACTGACAAGTAATGTTATCCAATTCATTCCTAACATTCTGTACAACAGGGTGTGCTTTTAAACAATGTTTAATATGAGGAAGTGCCCTCTATTAATTTATACCATTGGAGATCTATTGACATGCCTTCTGAAATAATAATTAAGTTATTTTTGGGTATTTTTTGATTTCTGTGTGTTCTTTAAATTTCCTTTTGTATGGGTCTTTTTCTAAATGAAAAACTTTTATATTGTTTTTATTAATCTGACAATTATTGCCACTTGTGTGGTTGTACCAGGGGAAGTGTTATGTTTTAAGTGGATAGCACCTAATATTCTTTAAGAAACAAGAATTAAAGAATATGACCTAATAGGTCATATTCTTTAATTCTTGTTTCTTATAACCAGCCCATTTCGCCGATGTAAGTTATTGGATTATGACAGTTGCATTCAAGTTTGTAAACTGTTCCTACAGTTTTAAGAATGTTTAGTTTATTGTTATAATGGATACTATGTGATATTTTGTTGGTCAAAGATGGTGCCAAACTGATATTGCCTTTTTTAGGATCTTATTACAGCCCTTGAAAATGTTTTTTATATATGGGAAGGTTTTGTATTTTTTGTTTAATTTGTATTTCGTATTAAATCTGTTTTCCCAGTATTGTTTTTGCCATGTGTTTAATTTTGATTTAGGATAGTCTTTAAGTAAAAATTTAGTTTCTAAGTCCTTTATTTTAATTTTTTGCCATTTATTATCTGATATTCTTGTATATATGTTT